AAATCTTGGCTTAGGTGAATTCCTAATACTAGTAAGGTAACTAGTAAAGATGGGCTCAGATTTATATCCTGAAGTCAGCAAAGAAAAATATGAATAAGCAAGAATACACAAAAGGGAGTACGATATAAGAAAGAAACTTCTTACAGGTATCATACACAGAATTCCACTGTGTTGTCAACAGCTCGCTGTAAGGGCTTAGGGTTAACAATCAACAAGTCATGGGCCTTCTGTTTTTATCCTCTCAGGAAAGCTCAGTTTAAAATCACTACAAGGTATAATCTTAAGTAACATTAAGGTTCCCTTTTATTTTTTCACAAGATTGGGAATAATGAAGATAACCTGACAAAGTTTAAATTCATGAAAACCTTTTTTCAATCTGTGAAAATTCTCCATAGAGTTTGTACTTACCATTTCCAGTTCCCATATCATTGGATTCATAAGTTGTAATATTCTACCTAAGAAATACAAATCTAATTGTAATTTAGCAGTTGTAAGGATTGTTCCTTTTCAACAGGAAAATTCTCCAACCTGTTCAGAAAACAAACATAGTATTTGAATGCAGGCACATTTGTAAATCATAGAGGGGGACAACTGTATGCAACCCATTTGGAGATTGTTTAAAGGATCCTTTTGCAGTTTTATCAGTCAATGCTCATCTTCACAACTTTTGAAGAATAATTAAAACAGAAATTAAGTATGAACTAACTTCATCTTCTGCTATCCTGGAAATGTTTTCCCATTAATACATTCTCAATTTGTCCCTCTTAAAAATAAATTCTTTCTTTTTTTTCATGAGGATTTTCTACAGTGTCCATTGGATAGTTTATCTGGTGCCACCAGATAGGCATTAGGGCTTTGCCAATATTTTCTTTATGGATCTTACAACATGACCATTCTAGGATATTTTTAGAACATTTTCTGACTGATTTTGTATATCTGAAGTTCAATCTGTGAACCTCCCCATAAAGTTTTTATTATTGAAAAAATGCTTTTTTGTTGTTTTATATGAGACAGTTGGGTAGAGTAAGGACTTTTCATCAAAACATGTCTAAAATATTTATATTTCTGTATCTTTATTAGTTTTACTCTATCTTTAGTTTCTATAGTAACTTTTTTACTATGAGTAAACCTTCATGAGAGTAATTATTTTAGGTAACATTATGATATCAAGTAATTAATATCATTGCTTATTTTCAGAAAACATCCAAAGACCTAAAATGTTTCTGAGACTGAAGTTATGGCTCAGTGATAGAGTGCTTCTGTAGAGGGTGTCAGGGTATTGGATTTGATCCTTAGGATTGACAAAAAAAAAGAATATAATTTCAAACAAATGAATCATTCTGGAACCATATGCACCATTAGTTTATGTATCTTATTCTTCATTTTAGCAGTACCCAAAATATACCATAGAGAAGGCTCTACTTCAGTTATTATTAGAAAAATTTAGGTTGGGGTAAAGTATTGGACTTTATAATACTGACCGTACTGCTTATTGTATATCAAACTTAGAAGTGTTCCTTCTTAATTTTAGTATAAAAACATAGTAAAGCAATTTTAAGTATAAAAGTCATAGCAAAGCAATATCAAGTCAAAATTTAATACTTGAGTGCTCAAATTCTATTCTGAGCAGGAACACTTCTTGAATGATAAAAACACATACTGATATTCTCCTAAATTGATTAAGGTTTATAAAGTTGCTATTATGAGAATCACATCAGTAGATAGAAAAAGGAAAGGAGAAGTAGCAATAGTTCATAATTACTTAATTAACTAGTAGACAATGTTGGGCAGTTACTGTAATAGGAATTTATTATGAGGTAACATTAGATTTAAAGACATAGCGAAAACCTAAAAATGTTTTGACTCTTTATGTCTGAAACTGCCCTAAGGCAAGGGATTTTAGCATTGTCTACTGGATTAGGGGTTAGGTTTAGTGGATAAATTAGTTATCTCTTGCTCTGTAATAAATTACATAAAATCTAGTAACTTAATGCAACACACACTTATCATCTCAGTTTCTGCAGGTCAGGCATTTGTTTAACTGGGTTCTTGCTTTGGGATCTTTCACAGGACTAGGGATGGGGTCTAACCTGAAGGCTTGATGGGGGAGGGATACACTTCTAAACTCACTTATGAGGTTGTTGGCAGGATTATACCTTGCCTCAAAGGATGTTGAACTGAGAACTGGTATTTTGCAGGTGGTTGGGCAAGGACTGCCCTTAGTTCCTTGTCTTATGAACCTCAACATGGCAGGTTTCTTCAACAGAGTTAGCAAGAGACAGTGTGCTAGCAGGATGGAAGTCATTAACTTATGTAACCTAAGCTTGAAAGCAACATCCATTGGGACGCTGTTTTCTATAGACTAGAAGAAATTTGCCAGCCCTGTTCATACTTGAGAGGAGGAGATTACACAAGTACATAAATATTAAGAGGTGAGGGTCATTGGAGAACATCTTAGAAGCTTCCTATGACAATGGGCAATAGTTCTTCAATATGTGCCATGTTGTTAATTTATCCCTAGCATAATGTAGACCTTTCAGACCATACAAAAGGAAAGATTCTTATACAACGCAGGTACCTAGGATTATATGAAGACTTACGTGCTCTGTTCTGATCTTCCTTATTTCTGTGGAGTCTTTTGTCTGTAGTGATTCTGGGACAATAGCTGTTTCTTGAATTATATGCAGTGTAAGTATTTTCATTTTTAGACTGACTCTTATGTAGTATGTGGGAAGGACAGTTTGGACCTGAGGGTCCCAGCAAGTCAAACTTGGTCACAGCGTCTTCAGAAATCTTTCTAAATGAGGGTCTTTAAAACAATATCATTGAAATCTCTAGAAATATGAAAGACGGTAAGACTAAATACAGTTGGCCTTCTGTATTTGCTGGTTCTGCATGTTTGGATCCAACCAACAATGGGTGGAAAAAATTTTCCCTGTTGCTAATATGTTATATGAACTATTCATGTACTGTAGACATATATACATACTATATAGTTAGACTATGATCATTGTGTTAGCGACCAAAATACCTGACAAGAACAACTTAGAAGGGGAAAGTGTATTTGGGATCATGGTTTTAAAGGTCTCAGGCCATGGTCAGCAGGCTTAATTGCTCTGGGCCTGAGGTGAGGAAGAACATGATGGCAGAAGATATGGCAGAGGAAAGTTATTCAATTCATGGTAGACAAGAAGCAAAGGAGGGATGGAGAGACAGAGAGAGAGCAAGCACAAGGAGTCACCAACAAAATGCAACCCCAAAGTATGCCCCCAGTGACCTGTTTCTTCCAGCCATACCCCACTTGCCTACAGTTACTAAATTAGTCCATTCAAACTACTAATCCATCAAATGAATTAATTCACTGATGGAGTTAAACAGTTCTCATAATTTAATTATTTTACCTCTGAACATTGCTACATTGGGTGTCATATTTCCAACATATTAACTTTTAGGAGAACACTTCATATCCAAATCATAACAATGGATGAGTTTGTACTTACCATTTACAGATTTTTTCCTTGTCCTTATTCCCTAAACAATGCAGGGCAAAAAAAGTATTTACATAATATTTACATTGCATTAGATATTATGAATAATCTAGAAATTATTTACACAGAAGGATGTGTAGAAGTTATTTGCAAATAAATTATACCATATTATATAATGAACTTGAGCATTGGCAAATTTTGGTACTAGTGGGGGTACTGGAACCAATTTCCCATCAATACTGAGGAACAACTTTATGTGGAATTTTTAAAAGTACAAAAGCTGAATTTATTGCTAAAGTATAACAAGGTACAGTTATACTCTACAGATAAGTTTTCTCTGAGCAGAAGAGATTGCTCATTTTCTATGGGGTTCTTGTAAAGTACTGACTTCAGGGATTGATAAACTTCTGACCATAAAGTGATTCACATCATCTGTAGAAATACAATACTGGTGTGAGACTGCTGTGGGTTAGTGGGTATGCACTTATTGAAGTGAGTGTGTGCCCTGCTGTGTGATCTTCAGCAGTAAGAGCTAACATCCATTGGTTGGCATACAAAAACATGTTCACTGGGGTGGGTTGGTTCTGACTAACTGAACAACCCTAAAATAGTCTCTGGTGGTTTCCTTGCTGCCAGGACCACAGAACAAGGAGTCTTTTTGAACATTTGTGGACATGTTTTTACTCCCGCAGTTTGGGAAATACTGGCCCAGACCAAATACAAAATCCTGTAAAAGGATCGTCTTGAGGGCCTGACATATTTTTCTCTCACTCTAAAATACAAAATAGATGTAATTCTCCATCTAGAGGAAACAAATGAGTGCAGCATTTAAAAACACAATGCTGGTCTCTGCTTGCAAGAGATGGGTGAAGAGAGAGTTCATTCCTCTTTGGTGTGACTGTTAGAGGCTACTAACTCAAAAACCCGCAAATGCTGGATGCATGTCAGTCATGACTAACATGAATCTAAGCAGGTAATATAGAATTATGTGGTAAGCATAAAAATGCGGATTCTTCTACACACTCCCAATTAAATTTATGTTTAAAACATTCTGCTGCCTCAAATATACTTGTCTATGAGTTGCACTTGCTTATGGACAATGTGCATAAAATAAAAGTTGTGTTAGTTTATTTCTAACTATCTTATTCTATTAATTTATCACAGCTGAACTGCAACTGGAAGCAGTTTGTTTTTTCTTTCTCTTTCTGAGAATGTAGAAGTAAGATCCATCTACAGGGTGACATCTATTTATCATGCTGGTGTTAAAAAAAAACTTAATTTTTATAGGCTCTATATGTCATGATTGTAATGAGATTAGGTATGGGGACATGATATTCCAGGGAAGACATAGAAGTACCTTTGTGTAACATTGAGGAATTTAGTGAAAAGCATAAAAATAATAAAAATCATGAAGAATGTGGCTGTAGCTATGTCTATGGTAACTACTGAGTACTGTCACTATTGCTCAGTGGAAATCTCAGGTTCACATTCAAACGATTTTTCTCATTACAGGCTGTGAGCCCATTCCTGTTCGCTATCTTGAGTGGAGCAACATAGAATCCATCATAGCCATCGTCTTTTCTTGCCTGGGCATCCTCGTTACCCTGTTTGTCACTCTCATCTTTGTGCTGTACCGAGACACACCTGTGGTCAAATCCTCCAGTCGGGAGCTCTGCTACATCATCCTAGCTGGCATCTTCCTGGGTTACGTGTGCCCTTTCACTCTCATTGCCAAACCGACTACCACATCCTGCTACCTCCAGCGCCTCCTGGTTGGCCTCTCCTCTGCCATGTGCTACTCTGCTTTAGTGACCAAAACCAATCGCATTGCACGCATCCTTGCTGGCAGCAAAAAGAAGATCTGTACCCGCAAGCCCAGGTTCATGAGTGCCTGGGCCCAAGTGATCATTGCCTCAATTTTGATTAGTGTGCAACTAACACTGGTGGTAACCTTGATCATCATGGAGCCTCCCATGCCCATTTTGTCCTACCCAAGTATCAAGGAAGTCTACCTTATCTGCAATACCAGCAACCTGGGTGTGGTGGCTCCTGTGGGCTACAACGGACTCCTCATCATGAGCTGTACCTACTATGCCTTCAAGACCCGGAACGTGCCCGCCAACTTCAATGAGGCCAAATACATCGCCTTCACCATGTACACCACCTGCATCATCTGGCTGGCTTTTGTGCCCATTTACTTTGGGAGCAACTACAAGATCATCACTACCTGCTTTGCAGTGAGCCTCAGTGTAACAGTGGCCCTGGGGTGCATGTTCACTCCCAAGATGTACATCATCATTGCCAAACCTGAGAGGAATGTCCGCAGTGCCTTCACCACCTCTGATGTGGTCCGCATGCATGTGGGCGATGGCAAGCTGCCCTGCCGCTCCAACACGTTCCTCAACATTTTCCGAAGAAAGAAGCCAGGGGCAGGGAATGCCAAGTGAGTTATCCCATCCGAGTTTGTCTTCTCTCTCTCTCCCTCTCTCCCTCTCTCCCTCTCTCCCTCTCTCCCTCTCTCCCTCTCCCCCCCCTCTCTCTTGTATTTGTTCAAATTGTTGCCCTCTTCTTCCCCTAAGTTTTTTTCTTACTTTTTCTTCCTTTAACAAATTTCACATTCTATTGCAGTAGGAAGATAGAACTTAAAGTTTTTCATTAAGTTTGTATCTTCATTCCTTTGACACAGCAAGAAGCATGAACCAACAGCTGGCTGATCACATCCTCATTTTTGTCTAGAACCTCAAGCTTCAGTTCTCCCAGTAACTTTTTTCCTTTTGTATGGGTCCTCTCTCTGAGGAGCATCAATACACCTCTGGGGTCTGGGTCAAAGATGCAAACATTAATTCTAATTTATAGTTTGGACCATAGTAGAAGGTAGTTTCTAATTGGTTTTTATCATTCTTGGACCACACTATCACTAATTAGGGACAGAGAGCAAGGAAATTAAGCCCCTGAGGAAATGGCTGTTTCCAAATTGGATTGCAGATAAGCACCAACCGTGACCTGAAATAACATCTCTTAAGTAACTGCTTTATCATCTCTTATTCTTTGAACTTTCATGCATATTTTAATAAAGATGTTCTACAGTGCTCTAAGTAAATTGGGCTATCTCTACTTCAAGTTCATGATTAGGATGGTTTCTTAGACACAAAGCACCAGAATAAATAAAGGACCAGATAAAAGTGATGATCCCAAATTAGAGAGTCAATGTGAACATCAAAGTTCAGGTGTCTTGTATTCTGGTAATTCTTCTAAGCAGTTTGTATAATAACAACTTTCTCTCTTTTCCCTGATTGTTTTAAGAAGAAACATATGCAAAAAATTTGCTTGTGTCATCTTTATGAGATTCATAAAAACAAAATTTAACACTTATAATCTATAATAATAATTTATAATATAATTATAATTTATAATAATTTGAAAAATAACAAGGACACTTGAAGTTGTAAAAAGTATTGAATTGTCAAAAAGCATAAAATTTTTCCATTATCATGATTAATTTTACTCTTTGAAGTAATTATTTAAAAGTGAAGAATTTTAATAGCAACCATTATAATTTATATACCATAATATAGCTATTCTATTCACTTGAACCAGTAAGTATGTTATTTTTCTACATTTCATAGGCAAGAAAACTAAGCAATTGTAAATTCGTAAAACTTTTCATTGTTATTCCACTTAGTCATTTTTTTGCACAGGTCTTACACTGATATGATTTTTTAAAATCTTAACATATATCAAAAACCCTACATGCATTAAAATTGTGAGTTTTGTAATTTTTATGTGCTAAGCTGAAGCACAAACACCTTTTACAGAAATCATATAATTTTGGAATCTGATGAGGAAATTTKGGGAAAAAACGTGTCTTTGAAATACATAAGGTTATTATTATTTCAAGAAAAGACATCCCTAAGTTTTATCAATGTTAGGATAAAGCCAATAATTTGTGCTACTTCCCACTATGTCAACTTCAAGTTATTTATAAGAAGCTGATCACAAAAGTAGCTTAATTTTTTTCCTCTTGCCGAGGTTTTTGATTCTAGCCAACATCCCCTCAATTGCAACCTCCTGACAAGGAATTATTGTCCAGCACGAAAGCAAAGCAAAAATCCCATGGTTTGAGAGGGAAAAAGAATAGGCTATTTTAGAGTATACCAGTGTAAAATGGCATCACAGTGATTTTCCTTAAGAGGAATGAAATGAGAGAAAGCAAAATGAAATGGAATGAAACTGGAATGTTCATAGGGAGCAAGAGATTCCCTTTATTGTACTACATACGGTGGCTGTCATGAGGGAGACATTCCGCCATCCACCAATATCTAGCTCCATGTTTCTTATTTGTCTGTCTTCATTTTGGCTCTTTAGAAACTTCCATATGATTTTTGGTCACTGAACACTGTTCTGAGAACATATAGAATTGAGATGTCTCATGTTGGTGCCCAGGAATATGCATTTGTGACAACTGTATAGGGCACCTGTCCAAGAAAATTGTGACTGTGAATGGTAAGCAGTGCTTGCTGCAGGGATGAGATGGAGTTATCCAACCTGACACTAATGATGCTTAGCACTTCTCGAACGGCCAGACTTCACTGTTCATTTTTGACAACCTTTCCATACCTGGACAGCTTTCCTTGTAATTTGAGAAAATTCCTTTCACTATTGCAAATTAATAAATTAATTCCACTTGGTATCTTACCTATATAGTTAGCGATGGTATCTGGCATTTGAGAGAAAAACCACCTTAGTCTACATGAACTGGTTTGTTTGTCTAGGAAGTCCTGGTTTAATCAAAAACTTGTTTAACACTTAGCTGTAACTTATCAAGAATTGTCTTAGTGTTATGTTGAGAAACCTAGTTCTAATTAACAATAATAACAGGAGCTATCTTAGTACAATTTGTAGCTTCTCCGATATTCACCATGCCAATGAGCTGACCCACAGAGGGTATTTGGAACTTAAATTCTATGGAGAACAGTCATTTGTTTACTCATTTATTCAGTTGTTGCTTCTGTTGTAACTCTCTTTGAGACTGTAATTTTAAAATGTAACAAAAATCGCAGTGCCTCTGCTTTTACCTTTTCTTATTGCCATTTTATGTTTTCCTGGTTTGTCTCCAAAGTTATAAAAAACACAATCTAATATTTTCTACAGCAATAAAAATCTAACAGAATTTTATCAGCTGAAGCAAGGGATTGGAAGCTCTAGAGAACACATCGCCCAGTGAGTTTATTATCATTCTGGATATGTAATTCCTACATTCATGGTGCACTGAGGGTATTCAGCAGTCTACATATGTAGCTATAAACACAGAGCAGATGCTGTAATGAACTTCCAGCTGATCTATATGTTGGAATATGGTTCTAAGAAGTTGCAAGTCCAACAACATCCTCATGATAGGCTGTCTCTGAAATGTATGGGAAGGATGATATTGCCTGCGTTTTTGCAAAGAGTACTTGAATTTTATATTTTACTCATAGTCAAATATCTGACACAAAAAAGGGTTAGGACCTTGCTTTACATTTTCTGAGACATAATAGAGGAGGAGTTTAATCAGTAAATCTGAAGTTTGGTTTACTTGAGTTATTTATAGACAGAAGCCCTTTTAGGCATGTTGATATATTATTGTCTTTGACAACTCTTATTTCTTTAGTTGTTTTTTTTAAGTGTCATCAAATGGGAAAATGTTAAGGCATATGCTAATATAAAGATACAGGAGATTTCTCTTTTCTGGCAATAGAAGAAACTCAGAAATCCATGGGTAGTTATAAAGAAGTAAATTATTTACATTCAAGTTATTTATCACTTCTGTTCAAGGAAAAATGAGTTAACATCATTCCACTGAAAGTAAAATATTGTGCAAATGACATGCTTCCTTAAAACATAATTATATCCATGATGCAATGTTAAACTCATATTTTTAGTTATTTTCAGGATAAATAAACTCAATGAGTACCAAATAATTTGATGGTACATGAAGCTAAAATGTGACAATATACTCCTTGGACCTTTCGCATACATAGTCACGTGCAAAACTGAAAGCAGTTGCGACCAAAAAAAAAAAAAAAGGCATCAGACTGATATAGGGTATGATTTTAAAACATAGATTCCTAAGTGAACACAACATTATTTCACTTCTGTAGTTGTTTCTTACACAGTTGACTATGCTTTGAATGCAAGAGCTAAGTGAAATATTAAGTGGAAGGATGCTCTGAGGAAATTTCCCTCTTGGTTCTCTGCTACAAAACCTAAGTTGACGTAAATAAGCCTGCAGAATTAGTCATGTTGCCGTGGGTAAGCATTTTGATTTTTCTTTCCTTCTTTTATTAGGAAAGGAAATCTGATAGTGAGCCAACCAATATCACAATCAAATAGCTGTAACATCTTTTTCTCTCTAATAGAAACTCAAACACTATTCTGGCTTGTAAATGAGAAAAATCTGTCATTTTGAAATCATTCTTTTCCTTAATCATACAGTACATGGCTTTGAAATTTATTATAATTCTTCACTTGATTTTATAGCAAGCATCAGGAGTTTTATTAAAATATTTGTTCTAGAATTTTATCACTTGATGGAAACATGTTTTTGAGGATCTACTCTTCATTCCTTTAATCAATCAATCATTGTTTCAATAGTAAGCTTAAAGTATTTAGGTAATTGACATGGTTCTAGATATTATTCAGGATAAAAAGGTATAACATTAAGGTACTGACTGCACCACTTTACAGTATGGACAGACAAAGACCTAAGTTAATATCCCATGTTAATTGCCATATTAGAGGACCAATAGCATTCTGAGTATCCAGGGAAGAGAGAGATTAAGTCTACCTATGAAGTCATATCTGTGAAAGGACTGGAAGGATATTTTAGTAAAAGCAGCATGTGAACCTGACCTGAAAGATTTTTTTCTACAAGAGAAATGGTGCTATGGTGAGATCATTTCACATATAATAATAGAGGTGAAGATTAAAAAATGTTAGCACACAATGTGGATTCTGGTATAAAGGAAGAACATGGTGAAGACTATTTGTGCTACTTGAATCCTAGGCTAGAGGCCTATGCCCGGGGATCCCAATAGGCCAAGTTTGGCCACTTGCTTACAGGAATTCAAATAGTAAAAAAGCAAGCAGTGGTAAAACAGTGAAGGACTTTATTTTAGCATGGGTAACACCAGGAAGTGAGGGACCACTGTCTGAAGCACCATTTTCAGGAACTAACCATAGTGCAAGGATTTTATTGAGATAGAACAATGGTCATGGGTGGAGATGTCTGTATAGTTAGCAATCTTGGTCTGCCTGTGCTCCATTTGATCATTGTCTCAGGTTCAGTCTTGCTGGTGTCAGGGAAGCTGCTGCTGCTTGGAAAGAATGATGGATCCCATCATGGGGTGTTTTTCTGCAAGGCTACCATTCCTGAGACTTAAGAGAAGCTGGAAAAATAAGCTG